GGGGGGGGGTCAAAGATGAATCCAGAATTTTCACAAATGTGGAGGGGCATCTTTTGGGAGTGATGTATGTACATGTGCGTATGTGTATTTTTACCCTGGCATATTTTTCTGTGGTTGTGAAAAAGCTCTTTTGAACTAGCTGACTTTCTGTCGCAAAATTGGGGCCGGGTTCCCCCTCCCCTAAATCCCCATTGTATGTGTAATAAAAAACAGGCAACGAACACTGCGGATAGAGTGTATCCTCTGGAACACACTGCATCGATGAGATGAGAAGGATTATTTTGCTGAAAAAATGCTGATCGCTGTTATATAGGCCTGCAGGATTTTGTTCTACGCGTACCTAATCTCTATTGGTGCTAGCTAGTATCCTATCCACGGGTTATAGGTTTTACATTCTTTGTGATAAACACAACTATATCACGACTAGAGAGGATCAGTAACCCATCACAGGGATAGGGGGGGGGGGGGGGGGGGGGGGGCGTGGTTCCAAACACAGGGACTTGAGAATTTATTGCAGCTATATTTTGACCTAACTTAAGGTGTTGAGAGTAATTTTACACGTTTTAGATCAATTTTCGGTAAAAATGCCACCACCAATGATGACAATATACGTGTAAAATTACCCTTTAATTACCTTAGGTCTAAATATAGAGCCCAATGCCAAATTCGCATGTCCTTGTGGTTCCGAAAACCTGCGAACAGTAACAGGGAAGTAGGCATATATAAGTATATTTCTACATTACAAACATTCATCTCGTTAGGTTATATGTCTTTAGACTTCCAAATCCTAGTCTTATGTTTCATAGATAACGTATGTAGGGTTGTCGTTTGCTCCACTTCTGTAGAGGTGTTATTGATCGGCGGGATATTAACACACTTACACGTAGAGCATTCGTACACATCTGTGATATGTACATATGATAATGTGATGTGTGTGTGTCGATGTATACGAAATTGGTTTTATTTTAGTTTGCTTTAGGCTATGTGTCACTCTGAGCACAGGTGTACGTATGTTTTCTTAGACATTGTTTGAAACGTAGACATATCGTGTATAAATAAATACACGCGGTAACTTATAGCAATGATATAATTAGCACTCCCGTACAATCCGGGTTCGGGTCGGTTACAAAGCATGTCTAATGTGGAGTATTTAGCTTTAATTGTATGTGTCATCTTTTATTGATTACAACTGCCCTTTGTCCGAGACTGAATGCAGTAACTGACCAGGTGAGGCAATTAAGCTAATAAAACTACAACTAGTCGACATTTAGCTATATACAGGTATCTGGTCAACTAATTATAAGGTTATATGCTTCTAGCAAATATTATGACAACGACATCGCCAAACGTAATTCCATTTTGTAGTTATCACAAAGACATTTATCGGTTTTAAAAGTGCTTTTGATAAGTTTAAAAAATCGTTTTGTAAATTATATCTATGTAGAAAGTCACACAAAGCAAACATTTCCTGGAAAATATGCCTTTTTTTCTTTCTCCAAAACGCCAAATATTGATAATATGAATTATGACAGTCAAATGCTTTTGACCGTTAACTATTCTTCATATCATACACAAATAAAACGACTATGTTTAATCAGCGTTTATGTATAATAATAATAATAAACTTTATTTATTGAGGATAAAATACAGTATAAGTAATACGGTTATCAGTGCAGTAGAATCGTGGCTAAATCGACCATTTATTTCCTGTCAAGTGGTTTTATTTATCTGGTCACAACTTCAGAATGAAACTTTATTGCATATTATTTACCACAAAGGAAAATAATTATGAAATATAGTGCCTTGATGAATTGTGGAAAACGATATTATTATTTTTTTATTTTTATTTATATGATTGGAATTATTCGTACTCAGTAATTCAAGTATGACTATTTAATGAGCAGCAAGTTTATAAGTAATTTCAGGGAATTTCAATGGGTTTTTACAATTACTTTATTTGTTTTTATTGTCATTAAACTCTATCCACTGTGTCATTCAATACATTGTGTCGTATAAGATAAGTATCTTATGCGAAGCTTGTACTAGCTATTCCGTCTCTGCGTATTGCAGAGTTGTCTTCTCTTGTGAGCAGGTATTGATTGTTACGTCATTGGTTTGTGAGAGTAACCTTATCAATTTTTGAGAAAACGACGTAATTTTCTCACACAAACCAATGACGTAACAATCAATCCCTGCTCACAAGAGAAGATAACTCTGCAATACGCAAAGACGGAATTGAAGACGACTCATAAGAAATCTATTTCAAACATTATTAGAATATTTCGATTTCATATTACGTAATAGGATTATATACTCTTAACAATAGCCTACCTGGTGAGTACTGACCACGGGGCATATTACGTAATAGGAGTATATACTCTTAACAATAGCCTATCTGGTGAGTACTGACCACGGGGCATATTACGTAATAGGATTATATACTCTTAACAATAGCCTTCCTGGTGAGTACTGACCACGGGGCATATGATAACAATTATTGACAGCTGTCACTCAAATCTCAGACAATTAACTGTCACTCTGCTCGATAACCGAACTACCCGGTAGTGGAGCGGATGTCAAAATGTCAGTTAGTTCGAACCTTGACTCTGAACGGATTCATTGGGTATGTAAATTCAAACTGATGTTTAGTAACGCAAGGGAAAAATACGTCACTTTTACGTTTAAATTAGTACAATGCACATATTTTTATTCCAGGAAAACGACAAAATGGATCAAATTGTTTTGAAGACCATCCACACGAGGCTGCGTAAACAGTGGGGCTACCAAGCATTTGTCCGGGAGGTGTCTGAGGATGGTGACTTTACCAGCCTCAAGGCAGCGCGCAAGGTATGTATGCTGTTTTAAAATTTTGATATTCGAGATTATGTTTCCCTTGATTCATAAAGATCTATTAAATGCTTAGTAATTTCTCGTAATTCAATTGACTGGATTTTGTACGCGTGACCAAATCTGAAAAATATAATAGACCGATTTTCAGCGGTGAGTTATGAGACCATAACGTTTGAGAAATAGCCGTCTGATGTTTGTTTTCGGCTGTTCTATTTATAAAAAAATCTACTTAAAATTTGAACATGAACAGTTACTGTTAAATCAAAAAAGAATATAAATATTATGCACCTGCTTTCGGTTCAGAGTTATCGCCCTTTAACGTTAAGCAGGTTAACACACGTTATTCGAATTGTCTTCAAATCATGTTTACAATCATCATAGGGTAATAATACATAAGGCTATATTTCTGAACAAAAAGATTCCCGACCCGCTGCTATTAACTGTAACTGCGTTTGACTTTTTCACGGACATGATAATAGCTTTAATCAGAGACATGCATATATCATTGTAATTTATGTCTGTGCGTTTGCAAAGCCTTGCGGTATTTTTTTGAAAAGTCTAATAAAGGTAAAATAACCAACACGAGAGCTTTCCCGCGGCATGCAAAAATGCATGATCGTAAGAGGCGACTAAATTTGGGATCTTCTATTTTTTCTAAACAACTTTCTTCTTCCTAATGTCTCCCTTGACAATGCCTCACTTTTGGCCTTTAGTTGAGCGTTCGCCCCTGTGAGGAAGGCTTTGGGTTCTGTCCCCTGGCCGAGACATACCAGAGTCTGTAAAAATGGTAGTTTTTACTCCTGCTTAAAGCTCAGCAATTTAGGAGTGGGACGACTGGTTCGCCCGTTGTCAGTATAATGTGACCGGGTGGGGTGTCCTGTTGGGTGTCTTCGGTAGTATATTTCAGTGAGGTAGCACTATGAAGTCGGCATCAGTTCCGCGCTATCACAAGGTGACAAAGACAAACACATCGCAGCCTCCCAAAACACACACGCATACACTTCACGCATGCATCTTGCACACAGATGAGACCGTCCTTAAATGACCATAGCTGTTGATAGGACGTTAAACAATACTAATCCAAACCAAATCTTTTGTTGGTTATTTTTGTGTGTATTTTACCTTTATTAGGCTTTCCAAATAACAGTAGTGCAGCCCGGAGGTCTGATTATATATGCTGTCGCTCAAATTTTTGTTTGAGTGGTTTTACGTCCGCTTTACTACCAGGTAGTTCGGCTGTCACGCAGGCAATTATTCGAACCAAGTGAGAAAATCAGTTATAAGTCGCGCATTCCCCAGACTCGCCCTCTCTCGAGCACTAGTACCCTGGACCAGTCGCGCTATTTAAAGCATGATATAAGGGTAGGTTACAGTGTGTCAGATAAAGTTGAATATTCTTGAGTGTTTTGGCAGCAGTGGGTCAGGAACCTTTTAATATCCTATATGGCAGGAGAGAACCCTATCTTAAACCAGAAGATAAATGAATCGTGTTCGAGCGTGTACAGTCAAACTTCAATGTTTTGAACTTTGCGGGAACATCAGGAAAGATTCGAAACATTTAGACTTCGACTCACAAATGTTTAACTTAGATCATGTTTCTGATCCTGTATTTTTAGCAAAGGAACACAAGGAAATAAATCTAATTTGAAATATGTAGATATTGGATTTAATGCAAACAAACATGTTTCATGTATCTTCTAAACATTATAGTTTGCATGTTAAGGTGTTAAAATGACCCCCGGGACGTATTAATGTTCTCATGTTTTTTTTGTTTTATTTCGATTTATTAGTTGTAATTTTCAATAACTTCCTAACTATCAGACATCGATTGTAGGTCGAACCAGCGAAAAATTCGACTCATCAAAATTGGATTTATTATTTGAAAGTCCGGACTAAGCTGTAAGTCGAAGTTCGAATTATGGAAACTTGACTGTAGACTATATATGTGTGTGTTACCTGCGAATACATAATACATGTGTAGTAATATAAATCCTTTTCTTTGATATATTCGACCAGGCCCATGAACGGGAAAGAACAGAAAAGAGGTCTAGAGAGATTTTAGAGGAAGACGACGATGACCAATCCCCGACAGACATATCAATCAAGTCTACACAGGGGAATGAAAAACACAAGGAGGTCCGAGCACAATTATTCAACGCCGTAGAGGAAGGGTCCGTTCCAGAGGTGTCCGCTTTAATCAGTAAAGCCAGGAGTTATGTCAGTTTACATCACGCAGACATGCTTGACCCTTCGAATGGACAGAACGTGTTACATTTCGCATTAAGTATCCCGCGACTGAATGTTGTCGATATTATTTTGAGCGACAAAGAAAACGATGAGTTATTGAAGCAAGTGTTTCAAGTGCCAAAAAGCACACGAACAGCTTTACATCAAATTACAGATCTCAACAATTTAAAACTAGCAAAGAAGGTTTTGGAGAAATTCCCAACCACACGTGAAAAGTGTGACGTCATCAAACTGGAAACCATGGTTGACGTCGAAGGGCAAAGGCCGAGAGCATTTTCTTCGTATCATCTCGCAGCTTTCAAGGGATTCACGGACTTAGTGAACTTGTATCTGGACGCTGGCATAGATGTTAATTTACTTAACGTAAAGAAGGACACAGCGTTGCTATGGGCAGCAAGGTGGGGTCACGTAGACACCGTGAACTGTCTTCTTGAAAGACAAGCTGATGTCAATTTAGAAAACGACAAGAAATCGACTGCCCTGTATTGGGCTGTGCGCTACCAGAAACACGAAGCAGTACGGCTGCTTCTCCGCAAGGGAAGGGCGAATCCCAGCCAGACCAGGTTATTGGGACTCGTGGCACCTATCGTCATATCATCAGCCTTAGGGAATAACCTAATAGTCAAGGAGCTCATCGATCACGGCGCGGACGTGAATACCATTATTCGTGGAGGCGAGATGCCTCTCCATCACGCGGCTAAAGAAGGCCATGCCGAAGTGGTCCAGACACTGTTGAAGGGAAATGCAATACTTACAGCCCAGGATGAGAAGGGCGACAGAGCTTTAACCCTGGCTTCACAGAACGGACACGCAGACGTCGTCAAGATTCTTCTCGATAACGGAGCAGACATGTATCATAGGAACCACTTTGGTATCGATGCCTGGCATACCGCTATAACGCATGAGAATGATGCAGTTATTCGTGAGTTGACAAAACAGTACAATAAACTATACGAGAACAACAGAACTTTGAAGTCACCTCTGTGTATTGCTGCTAGCCTTGGTAGATGTGAGAAAATAGAGACCCTTATGAAGTTGGGATTAGATCCTGAGCAACAAGACGACGACGGAAATACGCTTCTGCACCATGCTGCTGCTAATGACCAGGGAGAAGTAATTAAATTGTTTCATAAGGTCGTCAGCATTGATGCCGGAAACAATCAGGGAGAGACTGCTCTTCACATAGCATGTAGAGAGGGTCATCATAACGCAGTGTTAGAACTATTAGAACAGAAGGCAAAATCAAACATCCCAAATTCGAACGGTGAAAATGCACTGCATATTGTGGCTCTTACTCGTGCTACAACACCTGCAATAGCCCGCGCTCTAGTGGAACACACCATCAAGTCTCACGACTGGGAGAGCGTGAATGCAGTGGATTCACAAGGTAACAATGCTCTTCATATTGCTGCACGGTTTGCACTGCCGGAGGTGCTTTGGGAGTTTAGGTTTGTCAGATTTAGAGACACTGATATTGACGGAAACACACCTCTTCACGAAGCGGTGCTTTCCGGGAAGGAGGACATACTAAAGACAGCCCTTGATATTTACGAGGATATGCAGAGGGATGCAAATATAAACACGCTAAATAATAATTCGGAGAGCGTCCTTCATCTCACTGCCGACGCGGGATTCTCGGATAGCGTGACGAGACTTGTGTTTTATGGTGCCGACCTTACCTGTGCCGACAGGGATGGTAATACAGTGCTGCATAGACTCGTTAGGTCCTTGGCAGAGGACGAAGACAATCACGAGGTCAACATGAAAGTCTTGGAGACTATTTTGCATGATTCAGTAAGATGGTGGAGCACTGCACAAGGAGAACCTTACCCAAAAGAAACCAAAAACATCTTTCAAGAAATGCAGCGAGAAGCACTGGTGACACTGGCCTTTGACTACAGAAATAATGACAACTTGTCTGTCTTAGCATATGCGTATAAACTAGGGTCATACGCATTTCTGGACCGTTTCCTGACTATGCCTGACGTCATGAAGTTTCAACGAGGTGACGAGATCTACTTTGATATTACACATTTGACACCATTGACAAGTCGTAGCGGCAACTGGTGTTATGGTCTTGCAACAGGTAAACACGAAAGATCCCATATAGAACTATTGATGTCACTGAACGCCAAAGAACGTGCATCACGCGTCCTGGACGTGGCGCCAGTGAGGCAGATCGAGCGGATGTACACCTTCATATGTGCTTGGGCATATGCATTCTTTATGTTGTTACACATAATTTACATGGGTGTATTTTCCTATCTCGGCGTGTCGGTGGCAGCCAAATTCCGAAATATGAACAATGGTGTTCTTTTGTCCAACACAGACCCCGTGCTGGTGGCAGTCTACGTAATTGTGCCAATAGAGCCCGCCATAGCAATTGTACACACGATGGGGACCCTGTGTAAGACTTTGTACCGGAAGGAGTCGCTCAAAGGGAACTCTGTCATCACAAAGTTTGCCCTTACCCTGTTCGCCTGTTTGACTTTGGCCTGGATTGGCATGGTTGCCCGGCGGGACACAAACCAGGATTACGTTCTGGCGATAAGCTTGTGTCTTGGCTGGATGAATTCAATAGCACTGACGAGAGGCTTCAAAGGTATTCATTACTTCTTCAAAATGTTAGTCAACATGGTCGCAAGAGATGTGCTTCGCTTTCTGGTGGTCTTTTCCTTTGTGCTCCTAGCGTTTGGCTTTGCTCTTCATGTTGCGTTCCAGATATCTCCCGATATCGCGAATACTTACTCGGACCCAGCTGAGACTCTTTTCATGACCTTTAACCTTATGATCGGCATGGCAGAACTATTTGATGACAGTTTCGAAACCGGGATGTCGGGAGTTGGTCGTTCAGCGACATTCGCTAAGGCGATATATCTTGTATATATCTTATTATCGACAATTGTTCTGTTGAACCTGCTCATAGCCATGATGAATGACTCGTATTCAGATATTTTACTTCATCAGAAGGTCAATTGGCGGGTAGAATCCATTCAAATAGCCATTGGCGTTGAGCATCTCTTTCCATGGTTTCCATCCACTTTTGGTAAAATCAAAATCAGAAAAGAAGCACTGCATGCAGAGGGAAAACTAGCAGAAAAAGAAAGATGGTATTTAGTGACAACGGAAAGTGATCTTTTGGATTATGCTCCAGAGTCCAACACTAATAACACAACAGAACGAATGACCACAACATGCGAGGAGAAAATACACGAGGTTGAAAACCGGGTACAAAATATTGAGCAACAAGTTAATGAAACGAGTCAGAAATTGGAAGAGGTCAAAGAACTAGTTCAAAATATAAACAATATCCTTACGAGATCAATTCACATATAAATTCCATATATATGTATCCATCCTACCACCTCTGTCATAACTTGAAAGTTTCATAGATTTCCATATCTTGATTGATTAGCATAACAATCAACAGCAAAGCTAATGTTGAAAGTATCTTAAGTGTAACGCTTATATTGTGATCATTAAGCTGGTATACCCCGGGGTATTATTGTTTTATTGGAAATGATATTATAACGTTGATTGACGTTAACGTTGAAACAGAATTTTGGGATGAACAATTAAAGAACCCTAGCAAATCCGTGATTAATTTTGAACATAATGCTCCAAAAAAGAAACGTTAACATGTTTCCGTGTATACAACCAGTAAAACCACTCTTTGTGAGATGACGTTTTAATCGGTAGTGGAGAGTGGGGTGAGTTTTGGTGATCGGCAATCTTTGCTTTCTTGAATTTAGTCATGCAGTACGCTCAGTGGCTACGTCAAAGGCTAGGAAGGTTTTCGCTGAATGTGTTGCTTAATAACACATTAAGTAAAACCTATCAGTAATTATACTACCTAGAAACATAAAGGTTTCGTTTACAAAACCAAACGCAATGCCGAAACTGTAACTGTTGAAAGATGGAGCAGAGAAAGTGAGCTATTGGAAGTCGGTCAGATAAAACACTGTGATGAGGGTCCATCCTCTGTGGTGCTATTTTAACCACACTTGGGTTCAATCTAAATGTCCCTGGTCACGTGTCACCATGTGACCCCTTAGCAGACGGTTATGCAATCTAACGGACACGGTCAACGCTAGAACATTGTTTCCTTGTCGCTATATATAACAATTATGAAACAAGTTATTTCAACTCATATTTATCACTCTTGTTTACTAAGATGTTAGCATGCTGGGGGTCTTAATGTGGGAGAAACTGAAGTAACCGGAGAAAACCTGGTCGCCATATGAATTGCCAAACCATCTTAAATCCAGTCCTTTATGCAGGTTATATTTTAACACGACGTCATCAAGCTGATCTGCTTAACTCGGCTCAGGTTCACCGCTGGTCTGGCTATAAGCAGTTTTTGTTTGTGTTCAAATGAAGTTTGAAGTTCAATGGAAACAAGGTTTGTTCTCTGACGAATCTTGTTTTTGTTTCACACCTGGTAATGGTAGGTAGAGCATGGTGACATCAAGAACATTTCGCAGACAGTTGTGTCTGCGAAAGTGACTGTTTTTGTGATGTAATCATTTTGGTTGGTATTGGCTTTGATAATTACACACGGCGATTTGTTAGTGGAAATTTGACTTGGGTTTGTCATAGAGATGAAATATTGAGACCATTCATTGTCCCTCTTTGCAGCATCATGTAACAGGCTCAACTTTCGGATACAAGTTTATGGAGGACACACATGCTATATGGCTTGTTCTTTTTCCTTCATGCACTGGTCAATAAAGACCTGTCAAGCACTCGTGCACAGGTGCTTGAAACACTAATACTAATACGATGTGTATTACTATTAGTGTGTCCAGCACCTGTGCACTCATGTATTATTTTCGTTTTATATGTTATATACAGGTAGCAAAATACTGTTTAATAATACATAAATAATGCATATTGTTATGTAAAATAAATACATATACATGTACATGTATATATTATATTCAATGAAAAATAAAGTGACATTTTTGTTGTTGCTATTGTTGTTGTTTGTTGAGAAAATATATACATGTATATAAACACTATGCCTGGTTATCATATAAATATTATAATTATGATATGACCTAATGAAAACAATTTCTTCGTTGATTACAATTGTTATATATCACAATTAAAGTATTTTGACATCAATACTGAACATACAGGTAACACAAAATAGCAACTCCAATCATTAAGATTCAATTTATTTGATTATTGAAAAAGTAAATACACACTTAAAATGATAAAAAATTACTTGTAACAACATCTCTAAATGAAATACAGTATAGTGTAAACCATGATATTCATTCCCTGCCTCAGATTTTTCTAAAAATACGATTTGGATCTGTACAAATAAGTTAATGGTACATGTTTCAGTGAAATTTCTGGTGAAAAGATCATGTGCAATTATTAAACAAAAGTAATCCTATTAGATCCACTTTTTTATTAATTAAACACCAAGCATATTTTAGAGTACGTGCAAAAAGACAGCAATTAATATTTCATGAAACATCTTCATCCAATTTTTTTACGACATCATCACCTAAGAAATGGGTTAGGATCACAATTGAAAATATACTTTGCTGGACTGTTATGAGCAATTCTGCAGCCAGGGTGTATAAAATAAACTCGCCGTTACCAACTACAGGAACAACATATTTATAATTTTCTGTAATCTTTTTTTTTTTTGACAGAGTAATTTTAATCTTATTATAACACTGGTACGTCCTGCGGAAAACATTATATTTGTATCTCCTTCTTATAAATAAAACATACCCCAACTAAATATATGGTATACCGCAACCACATAATGACATTATGAATTGCGAGGCTGACTCATGGTTAAGGTATATTTATTTTGAGATTTGTAATATAAATGACAGCAAATGTCTAACTGCTAAAAATCTCTAGAGTGTAGGTATGACAGGACAAAGTGCTATTTCAGATACTATTCTTCCTCCAGATACTGTGAAATCAGATATTTTCGTGGGGCTAAATTTTTTGTGATTTTCTGACAAAACACCATTTCGTGGGTACACAAGTTTGTGGATTATTGTGGAGAATTGCTTTGTATCAAACTTGTAATTACTTCCTGGACCTATGAATTTGTGGATGAAGATTACCCAAGAAATCAACAAAATTAAAAACCCCACGAAATATGTGATTTTACAGTAATATTTTGAGAAATAGTACAAAAAAAAAATGAAGATTTATTGGTCCTCCATTGCTATAACATCTCATTTACGGCAAGCTTCTTTATGATGAAACATATATACTGTAAATATTTTTTCTTTTTAGAATTGGAACAAAAATAAATTGCATACAATTTTAACAAAAATAAAACATCCAATAATAAATATTTAACCTTAAATGTGATAACATTTAAAAACACATAAAACCAATACAACTGCATTAAACTTGAGAAAACCAGCAAAGTTCACAATACCTCTTCCACATAAAAAATCTACATTATACTTAACTTGGTATCAGAAAAAATGCATTTTTTGGCTTGTGACTGCACTATGGAAATAAACAATAAATTGTCCAACACATGAAAAGAATGCACTCTATGAATTACTGGTCTGTCTTCACAAACTTTTAATGTCCTGAATGATGCCTTCCTCAATTAACAATAGTCCATAACTTATTAGTTTTAAGTTTTTGACCTCCCATAATCATGACATTGACTTAATGTGAGCGAATATTGGCTTGAAGATATTGGAGAACTTGTCTGTGATCATAAATAACTCATTTTAAAACTTTTTAGAGCAACGAGAAAAACGTTTATTTATGGTTTAAACCTAAACCTTGGGACAAGCACTGGAAAGCAAAGAACTCACTCAAGACAACCAAGTACTTAACCCTTGTGCAAAAAGTTTGGTCAAAATACAGTAATAAACAATATTCTCGAGCGATAACAATAATATGCTTATTTATAGTTAACTTATGGTGACCTTAACCATTGGAATCTTTGAAACACGCTTATAGGATATATTTTCAAGGACTTGGTACTTGGACTAAACTATGATACATATGATCACCAATGTGACTTCCAGACAATCACTGATAGAGATGGAGGTCGGACGTGAGGAAAACATTATAAACCTGAGTACCTAAAAGCGAGGGGTATTATATGTGTGGCAGATTTTAATTGTACATAGGATTAAGGTCGCCTTCTAGCTTCAAGCAACATATGTAACACAAGGATAAATATTGATATATGACACATCACCGTGGCAGTGGTCCATTACACTGTTCCCATACATCTAACCAATAAATACTAATTCACTCCTCACAATTATAAATACCACACATTATAGTCACACAAAAATACACAAGCAGATCTAGATTACCTGCCCCTGGATTTTGATGATAATGCTTGAATCAAGAGAACGAAGTGCCCAACACCAATACTTGTTTACATAACAATATCATTGTAATACAAATCTGCTCTTAGCAATAGAAAAGACAAAAGACAGTATAAAAATAGACAACAGCATGGAATGTAAATCACGACAGAATGGTTTTGTAACACGTACCACTTCAAATATATCAAAACTTTCTTAGAATAAACAAGATGAAGAATGTTTCTCTTCTGTTATAATGTTCACATTTGGTAAATAACTTATTCCGCATAGAGCTTTATTAAATAAATTTTAAAGTAAACGATAAAAGCATATTTAATTTCTTTGTTAAATAAGTAAATGTATTGCTGAACATTTCTACAACATTGAATGATAATATATCTCTGTTTAACCAAGTTAATTACAATTTTGCACACTTCAAGTACTAGTAAACAATTTTTTTGACCAAAACATTTGACACCAAAAATTTACAATTGCACTTATGCGCATGTCTTACAGGAAAATATGGACACCTTATCCTCATAAAATCACAGAAGGGCTCAGGACGGCATACTAGTGGCACTAAAACGATTCAAACACTTCTTCAGTCAACATTTCCACCTCAGAAACGAGCGACAGGCCAGAGTGTTCCATTGGCTAAGGATAGCTGGAGTTGGAATATACCCATGTGGAAACTGGATACACATATACTGAAACACACAAAATGTTTTTTTAAATATCAGATAAAGAATGCAAAGTCGCATAATATCATAGTCATGAATATTAGGTAAATACCCCAACTACTTTTCTACTGTAGCAAGGCCTTAAAGATATTTTTTTTTTTATTAAATTTGTATTATTTCCTCTATATCTATCTAAAGACAATGATATGTTGATATGTTACATGCCTTTTTAGGGAGTTTAATTCATTCACCCCTACATATCTAAATTGGAATTGCCCAGTCTTTGATTTGGTAAGGTTCAAATGTGACTTTAGGGGTGAATGGGTTAATAGAACTATATAGAAGTGTTCTAAGTAATGTAGAAAAGTATTAACACAGCAAGTATCATGACATGCAGCACAATAGGAAAATAAGCTGCCTGGTTTAAAAATCCTGAATCCCGGTTTAGCCCAGCTTTATTTTTTTTCACTCAGAACACTGTTGTTGATCATATTTTGTTTATTTTGTCCTATCATTTTTCATGAAAGTCCCACATGGTATGGGTTTATCAAAGCTATAGTAATACTGGAAAAAACCGTTTCCAACACTTAGTAACAGTTTTTGTCAGTTGTAGATCCTTAAAATTACCATTGGGTGTGATTGTAGATAAATAATAATTAGTACAAGTACTTACCTGCTATCATCATAACATATTAAAGAGGTAAGAGGACCGGACCCACTGATACTAGTGTCTGCTACACACTCTGTAATCAAACAAGTTCTACAGTTGTCAATACGTTATACTATAAAAGTATATTTTAAGCAGTCACATGTATCTTTTTGTGTTTTAAATATTGCGTTAAATTATTTGATTATGCTTAATGAAATTTTCTCTATACTGTTTTCTATTGCATATATATTGAGAGTGCACCTATTTATCAATTAAAATTTGAAAAGGGAAAAAAAATTGAGTACACTCAAAATAAGTATGTTAACAGTAATAAAGACAAGGCCTGTCTGGGAGATCTCATGTAATCCGCTGTGCCTGGTTTAGGTATAGATAATCATTTCTGGTGAAGAAAAAATCATCTGAAGTTCTTTTTATGTAAATTAGGATACTCCGACTGTACCTTTAGTGTCCCTGTCCCAAATTCGCACTGAACAGTCCCTTGAGGCAGTGGCTATTAGGTTCTGCCCATTAAATGGCAAGAATATACAGGACTCGATGGCCTCCCTGTGGCCTTTGTACTCATGGACTATACTCATGGTTCTCAAGTCATAAAGCTACAAAAGTAAAGGCCATAAGAAATCAGGATCCAGAGCATTTTACAAGCATTAGTATTATATGTTATGCTTTTAGGAACTTTTATCTACTAAATCACTGTTTGTATTATGTGAAAGAAAAAAGGTTAACTGTCTAAATTATTAGCTTCTCTCTTATACAAGCGTACCATCTTTTTCTGTTAAAGCGGACCAGACTTCTCTATTAGACAGACTCACCAACTGTCTGTAAAATCAAAGCTGATATCTTGATTACACATCAGGGCCCCTTAAGCATATCCCCTTCAGCCTGTTTGTCTGTTTTTTAATGTTTTTGATATTTTTCGGGTATAAAAATCCTGACGGACCTGCAAATATTTATGCAGGCCTTGCAAGACTTTGTCAAGGCTCGCCTGAAAGCAGCATCAGATAACTAGATCCAACCATATTTCATAAATGTACAACTCTGGTACAACCTGTTCAACCATCCATAACACGATAAACAAATGCAGCCTAAATGTCATAAACGAACCATGTTAAGGTCAAGGACATCTTACTCACTGTTGCTTCGCAGCCATTGCCACCGAACCCGTTACTACACGTGAGGCAGTAGTTACCGTCCTTACTAACATCACAACACATCTGGATGTACTGCTTCTTGGGAAAAGTGTGAGTCACCAGCAAGTTTTTGGTTTCAAAGATCCTGTCAGGGATTAGAAATGGTTAGGATATATTATATTGAACAGAATAACACATAACCAGTTCACCTTTTCTGAAAGACATAATATGTTAAGTTACACATAAAACGAAACAGCTAGTTCACTGTATCAAAAGAAAAAGAAAAAAGATATGTTTTTACATTCAAAAAGAATTTTGTCACTAAAGACAAGACTTTATAGATCCTTACATACTCCTACACAAAAGTGTGTATCTGCTTTCATTCATTGTTACTATACAGCGTCACTGTAACATATCAATATCCTTTATACAGCTACTATACACACCACACTATCTATATACAGGTCACGCTCTTCTCTAAACTTGACTTGGTTGAGGCTTCATAAACTTATTGATTAAAATGATAAAACAAAAGCACTTCAAATGTGTTATCATTCTAGTTTTAGTCTAGACATACATTTTGAAACTGAAAACAAAATTTTCACCATTCTCACGGAAGCTAATGACAGCAATCAGTACAGTGTTTCAACACTCATCTGTAAATCCGCTGAATGTAGAGACATGTACCCCTAGTGAGAGGTAATGTTGCCTATAGGTAGGATGTGCTGAGAACATACCTGACTTGCTTGTCCTCCCCAGTCTGTACCAAACTGCTCAATTGTGGTATAAACTTCACATCTGTTACCTGGAATAACATTACCCTGCTGTATTTTTTTTTTTTTTTCTATAAGAGGAATAGAATAACACCGATGTGATTTGTCTATTTTGAAACAGTTTTGTATAACACAGAACTGTTTAATGGTAACACACACAAAATAAAATCAAAACGATTGTCTTTTCCTTCAAGTGTACTTTTTTACTGATTTCGTTAATAAAGACAAGACACTAGTTTAGTTCTGATTGATATGTTGTTATTTTCTTTGGTAATAGTGACACAGTACTCTACATATCACAAAACACTTACCAGGTTACGGTGGATATTGTTTTCTAAGAGACATTCGCCCTTTTCCACATCCCATAGGCGCACAGTGTTATCTCTCGACCCTGTACAGAGCAGCAGGTTATCTACAATATAACATTTTTTTGTTTTATTTATTGCTTGTCTATCAACAAATACCATAATAATGTACAACATATTTTTTTGTAATTTTTCACACAGCTTGGCACAATATTTTTAAAAAGTGGTTTTCTGTATCAGTCTACCAGTCTTAAACCAATTTTTCTAACCTTATTTATGTAGTGAATGCAACAAATGAATTTGTATAACTCCTCATCCTCAATACTGCATGGGGTTATGCTCACTTTCGCTCTCTACACCCTGGAATGTATCGTAGCAAAATCGAAGGCTCAGTGTGCACAACCTTGTGGATGAAACGAGAAGACTGATTTGATCCTTTGATGTACATCAAAAGAACCTGTCGGTCGTGTAACAGTAATATTGACTGACTTTGAACATGTATCAGCCAAGCGACTGGTGAGGTTTTTTGAAATAGCTAGTATCGTGCCTTTAATTTTGCTATGACATGTTGAAGGGGTGCAGCAGAAAGGGAAAGTTAGTGTGTGACCCCGGGAGTATTAAGGATGAGGACTCCTATGTTTGGACAGTTAGAAAAACCTACCATTGCTGAGGTCAAGAGCAGTGACCACAAGGTCGTGTCCTGTGAATGTTTGGACTGGTGAGGGACTGCCACGATGCCACATCCGTACGGACTTGTCCCGTGATGCGCTAAACAGGCCTCCACAATTTCTTCCATAACACACCTAAAATTTCAAATTTCAACACAATTATTTTGTTAACATCAAATCAAGACAAATGTTGCAACTGAAATGAGGTTAGCAATGAAATATTTTCCTTTTTTTTCCAAAAATATACAGACCAGACAAAAATATATATAACAACCTTAGTTGTTTTCATGGAAACATCCATTTTCAAAATGAGGAAAACATTTATTTTCAGAAATTTAATCTACTCATTAATATCTCATTAAAAGATTGTCTTTGAAAATATGTTTGAGCCTAAGATTTAACAACGTCTTACTTTGCAGTTTTCAGACACATGTAGATACAAGACCATGTAGACATGTACAATACAGCACTCACCTTAGTTACCTCCCTTTCATGTCCTGTCCACTTATCCTCCAGGCGATGGTTGTGATAATCATACAGAGCCACACTCTGTTTTGGGAAAATCAAAATAGAATATTTCAAACATAACACAGACTTATGTGAACACTTGACTATTTCTTAAACTGAAATGAATTGAATGTCACAAGAAATGTATAATTTACCCCAAAAGCATTATATTACCATTTTGAAAATCCTTGGCCTTTAATGAGTCATGACTCAACTTGTTGATGGGCCATAAAACAGTACAATAACAAAACAAGGATCAATCCTTTTTACTCAGAGAAAGTAATGGGCAAAATTATAAAATACCTATATATCTATGTACAGAAAATGCCTGCATTGTCTGTCTATCGAAAAGTGGATAGACTGGTTAAGGATCCCTGTACCACCGCTAAAAAATGAAACTATGCATTATGTATTCGAAAATTACTTTTCTGGCATGACTATAGCTTTGATAAATTGATTTGAAAAGAAAAGTGTACCTTATGGGACTTGCATAATGGAGATGAAATACCCGGTAAACAAAATTTAATCAACAAACATGTTCTGAGTGAAAAATATTCTGCCTGGCCAGGATTGGAACAATGGACTTCAGATTGAGCTACCTGCACAACGAAAGTGTACTCATTGTAAGCCCAAATGTGCTACAGTTAAATCCAAATGGTAGTTAAGGGGAGATTACTGTATATAGGAAAAACCACAGTGCAGTGGGACAGGGATCCTAAAGTGGTATAAATGTATAGCTCATGACAGAAAAATAGCGAAGTACCTTACTTGTAACATTCATCATCTGGTGCTTGTTGCTATTGACAACACTGCTTAGCGACAGTTACTGAGGAAAACACAAACTCCACTTTACAGTTTACTACATGTATTACATACACTCACCCTATCTTTGCTGCCAGACAAACAAAGTCCAGACTGTATGGCTGCTAGACTGACCACTGCCTCACTGTGTATTGGACCATAGGTTTTAATCATGTCTGGTGCTTGATTAGCAGTTCCACTTAATTCCTTACCTCTTCCCTGTCCTAGCTGATCAGCGTCACTGTGGGAATAAACAAGAACAACAATTAATTTTCAATCTTTCTTCATCTTAGTATAATTTCAATAATAACAAGCTGTTTCCATATCAATACTGGCCACTATTTAAATGTTTCATGCAATAGATTACAATAAGAATAACACCTTGTCATATTAATACCATTATAGTTCAGTGATATTTGGGAATTATAAAGGGTTTGATGGTATATCAAGAAAGATACATTGTAGAAATGTATATGAACGAGGTACAGTATTGAAATATGTTGGCATAAAGCGAGGTGGCAAATTAAATGAGTGGCATTATATTGAGGTTGTACTGTAGAATTTATATCTTATAGAGTGATCTTATTATCAAGTTAATCCTCAAATTTAATAGATCTGTTTGTGCCAAACAGTTTAGAAATAATTACAATTTCCATTGTTACTTTTCATGTAAACAAAGGTCTTTTTGAGTATCTTTCAGTTTTAGACAATTTCGGCTTTTATCATATCATGCAGTTTCAGGGCTTCAAGTTAGGCCCTTGAAAGTATATTTTAAATTCCCCATGAGCTTTGTCTCCTGGGATGGAGAGAACAGGTCTATTTGACATGTGTTTTGGCCCTCTTAATTTCATGGGGAAACCTTTTTTGACTTCTGCAATTGCTCAATGCCACAGGTCAACTAAAAGACCCAAGTTTATCCCTCAATTTTTTTAAAAATATTTAACCAGCATGTGACTGCACAGCTGTTGGATGTTCCTACATGGTTTCGATGCTCATATCTGCATCAATTTAATAATTACCAATATTACAGTCATTTCATAACAATACATATAACAACAGTAAGACAGATAATTAGTGAATTTGAATCCTTGGATAGACTAACATTTGTTCAATATCAGCAATAAATGAATTCCCTTCTTTTCAAAACAACAATGTTTATTAATACATGTAATTAGATATAAACTACTTTAATTTATATCATCAAAAAATACCACAGAATCAAATAAGTAAATGTCTCCTTGTTAACCTATTTTTTTTTAGAATATCACAACTGGGTGGTTGGAAACACTAAGTCAATACATGTACAAATGCTTGTAACTGATAGGTGGCATTCCTGGTAGAATCCATTGACCATAGTCAATTAACAGTAAAACTAGGTATACCAAATCGTCACTAATATAACATAATCATTAATAAATATATAATCAAAGGATTGAGAACCTCACAGCTGACAGATCCATTCAAATATAAATTTGAATGGAGCAGAAGTATTGTCTTAATTCCTTGCATTATATTATAAATTAGAGTTTGTTAAAGAAGTGATATATGGGGTGTATTATCATCATATTATCAACAAAATGTTGAAAAAACACACAATTATCAATGTAATATCTTTCAACAAAACAGAACAATTTGAACCAAACAATAAAAGAACAGAAACTGTATGAATGCAATTTGAATTTGGTTAGAAACATACCACATACTATATACTGAAGGGAACTTACCCTTTATATCGACCCCATAAATCACGTACCATGCCAGTAACAAACTCCATTATGAATAAATCACGATGAAGACCTTGTAAGAAACAAACAGTGTCTCAATCATTCTGTATATACAATAAACCCCCTACCCCTTTTATAAAAAGATATATAATAAGACATCAGAAACTGAACTGATCATGATCAATTGGTGTGTATAAATTACTTCATATTATTTCTTAATTATGTGATGACTCTTATTTTGTTCTTAATATCAAAAAAGATTTTTGTGCTTTTATTTCAAAAATAAAAAATAAAATTGTAACAGTAGGGGATCTACTGTTGCATGTACCGATTACAATGCGACAGTTATCAGGTTATCACCCATATGAAGGATTATCATTAACATCCCTCATCGACTGACTGTGCCAAAAAAGTCCGGAGCCATATACGATTTTTTTCCTTTTCAATACAGTACCTAGCTACTGTACCAGTATGCCGTACCCGGCACTGTCACTACGTATTTGCAGACACGAGGAAAATTTAGCAGACACCACAATGACAACTGAGTCAGAGACGAGAATCAGTTAATCTAGGCCTATTCAACTAAGACGATTGCACATTTTACCTGCGTGTTTTCTCTTTACTGCAGCAATCCCCCATCAGGAAAGTTGATGAAAGTACCGATAGCCTGTAACTGTCGTTTACATATCACTGATATGATATCATCAACAATAACCACACATATTTTGTTTCTGAAGTGTCAGGGATCTAACTAAACCTCCTAACGCAGGAGAGCTCTAATAATTTTACTAGAAGCCTCGTGGAAACGAGTAGCCTCCCTGGATGAAAAGCGAAACATTTTATATGAAAAAGCTCACCCAAAAAGATCACTATAAAAGATATTTTAATAAAACAGAAGGTTTTTAATGCTTGTCGAAAAAATGGATACACGCTGATGGAATTAAAGCATGGCGCAATTTTTGTAAGGAAAAATCGATTTTTTTCTTCAAAATATTACGGCAAAAGAAATAACGTTAATGGTCAACTGTGTTCGAGACAGAAAGTTCATGCTCATGTTGTAGAACTTGAGGCTTCTTTGATTTTTCGTCCAGTTTCACCCGAAAACTGAAATGTCCACTTCAGTGTTAGCCTACAGATTTCAATATAAAAATGTTGACTTCCAGTTTAAACACTGGACCTTTCAAGTTTCATGGTCACATTCGTTTTTATTATTTTACAAAATACCGACTAATATAAACGGTACGGCACTTTTTCAAAAAGACATATTTTAAATAGCTGTAAACTAGAACAGTCACAAATCTAGCCTGTTTTACTGATTTTAATGCAATGGAGTTCATGCCATATATACATATTTTTCTATGGCATTTGACAAGGTTAGTCATGTATTACTTTTACATAAATTAAAAGCATATGGGATTGAAATTAACTTTTTCAAACTGGTTCAACACCTATTTTTTAATAGGATTTAATAGGATAATTGGTAGACGCAGGCATATTCTGCCTCAAAGTCCTTATCAGTAATGATACAATTTACATACAAATTATTTGTTAATTCCGCTAATGAAATTATGTCCAAAGTGATTATATTTTAGTTCAAAATTATTCCAATAATTGTCCAGTCCAATTTCGAATTCCCCGATTGTGGATGCTTGTACGACCTCCTCAGGAAGACTTCCAAACATCAACAGACCGAAGACCATGGCAGTACTTGTGTATGTCAAGTTTGCAATACGTTTTCTTTAACTTCCCTGAATGACCTCTTGTTCGCCGTAAAGGGTCTTTATCGAAGATTCCTGTGGTAACTGCACTTTCATGGAAGTTGTTTAATATTTTGTAGACATTAATCATGTCGCCTCTCAGTCTTCGATATGCAAGTGTCGGCCCGCCAAGGTTTTTTTAAGACTGTACGTGTAGGATAAGTCCTTCAATCCTGTTATTAACTGTGTTGCCGTTCGTTAGACTCTTTCAATCATTTCAATGTCTTTTACTATGTACGGATTCCACACACTTGCCGCATACTCTAAGTGTGGACAAACGAGTGCCTTGAACAGAGACGTATATATTACAGAGATATATATACGTCTCTGCCTTGAATAACTGTTCAAATGACCTTCTTATTAAACCAACACTAATGCTATTAGCCTTGTTAACTGCTTGTTGCATATGAGACACAAAATTCAAGTCCTTGTCTACTAAAACGCCTATATCCTATATCATGTGACAGTCATGTAGCACCTCTCATTTCCCCGCTTAATTGATAGCACTTTGTATATAAGAGGATGACATTTTAAAAGCCAAGTGTTTGACCATTCATCTAAATTCTCTGGATCCTGCAGCGTAATTTTTCTGTCCTCTTCATTTTTAGTTTCCCTATAAATTTTGGTATCGTCAGCGAATACAAATGTGTTAGATATGGTATAATTTGGTATATCGTTAATGTAAATTACAAACAAGACTGGCCCTAAAACACTACCGTGGGGTATACCACTTAGTACCTGGTGTTCTACTCTTTGTTTTCGATTGCTCAGAAAATGTTTTACCCATTTAGTAATCTGATCGTTAATTCCATAGCTTCTTAATTTACCGATCAATCAACGATGCGGAACCTTATCAAACGCCTTAATAAAATCCTTTTATATATATGGTGATAAATATATTGATAAATAAACATCATTCCGCCTGAAGAAGCCCTAGAAGGCAGAAAGGCCTAGCGGTCGATCTGAAAAATTTGTTTTTATTCTATATATATATATATATATATATATATAACATCAATTTCCCCTCCGTGACCCAATATATCCGTCCATTCCTCTAGTACCATTAATAACTGAAGAACCGTTGACCTTTTTGCAATATATCCAAACTGTTTCTTACTGAAGAGGTTGTTTACTTCCATGTGATGTACAATAGCATTCCTTACGATATTTTCCAACGTCTTTCCTACTACGCTGGTAAGACTTACTTGTCGATAGTTTCCTGGGTCAAATTTAGATTGTAGAGACGTTTTGAATTCGGATGCATCTGATCTGGACCTTGATATTTATTCCCATCCAGCATGAACAGTAATTTTCCCACACGTTCCTCTCTACACACTAGTTTTTCAAACGAAGTTTTATAGCTATATTTGCCATTGTCGATATATCGCCTAAAGGTTCCTCATTGCAAACGCTACTGAAAAAATAATAGCCAACGTCCAGTTGGTGCGATGTAACTTCAGGGGTTCGACAGGGTTCAATATTAGGTCCAAAACATTTATTTTTTATCAACGATTTGCCATCTGTTTTAAAACGTTACTGTTTGCTGATGATAGCAAGTTTTGTTTACGTCTGTTGGAAATCTTAGACCGTTCCCAGTAGCAGAGTGATGTTGAAAGGGTGTATGAATGGTGTAAGGACTGGGGGATGGAAGTGAAAGTGAAATAGTGTTGTCACCTGAATGTCACTCTGAAGGAAAACAAAATTATTTACAACTACAGTATGGGAGGAGAGATCTTGGTCAATGAACAATGTGTGAAAGACTTGGATGTGTAGTTATCTCCAGGTTTAAGTTTTAATATTCATATTAAGAAATTTACATCAAAATCTATGCAAATGTTAGGCTTTTTAAAACGTTCAATGCAAACATTTTACAAATATTACAGTTTTAAAAACTTTGTGCATCATACATCACATTAGTTAGATTTGGTCTCCATATCAGTCCACTTTTATTAAGCATTTAGAAATGGTCCAAAGAAATTTGAAGATATTAATGTTTTAAAGTCAAAATGCGATTTGATGATCTATCTCATACAGATGTTTGTAAGCATTTTAATTAAGCAAGTCTTGAATGTCAATGGAAATATTTCGACATTGTTTTCCTTTTTTAAATGTTTCCATAGCCTCTTTGGCTGTTTTTATCTAATTATTTCTGTTTCTTATCATGTACCTGGACGAAATCGTAGACAAAGTGCGAAGACTTTATTTAACAGCTTATTTAGCAGACTTAATGCTTGTAAATTCAGCCTTTTTTTATAAGAAGCCAAAGCTATTTTAATCTTATCATGGATACTTATAATTACAACATTATGTGACACTCTCTGTCAATTTAAGAAACAATTGAAAAAGGTACTTTTCTATCCACCTATTGTTCACCATTTATTGTTGCCTACATCTTTGTAACTATATTATAATATACATGTTGTTATCAATTCTTTTATTGGATCTTAGGGTCTGTTTGATTGAAACAAATCTTTAAAAAAGATATCTTGCTTAAGTTTGTATCCAATTCATGTTTTATAGCCTCTCTCTCATTTTTTCAAGGTAGATACCTGAATCTGGTTCTCCCTTTTTTGGCCAAGGGGTTTCCCCTATAATTCCTTTTTGTCATTCTTTCCATGTGAAAGGTAATATTGAAAAAATATGTAAGCACACTAATGTTTTTTTAATCAATTCCTTATTGGGAAGTGTTATAATATGAATTAGAAAAAAAAGAAGAAAAAAGCATAAAACAGTTGTCATTGGGTCCATTTTACTTGAAAACAATGCTAAAACTTGGTATACAGGTTGTTCCCCAAGGGAAGGGGTTTTTCTAACTGTAGAACTTATGATCGTACAATGCTTGGACTTGGTATGCGGGTTTGCTTTGGGAAGAGAAAACAAACTATTGATTATTGACGTGATGTGTTAAAGGTCAAGGTTACTGGTAGTGAAAATAGAGTTTCACAGAACGATCAAATTACCTGTCCGAATGCTAACTAATAAACAAATAATAGCAAAAAAAATAAAGTTAGTATATAAGTTGCTATAGGAAGAGATATAATTCTATTGAAAAAATCTAAAGTCACTGCAGAATAGAATTTTCGTGCTCAAATCCTCACTTCACAACAAATAATTTCACAAAGCTCAAACTGAAGGTGTTCTAGAGGAAAGAGAAAGCATTCTATTGATTTTATGTTTGATTCGTTCAAGTTCAAGGCCAATTTTTACTAAAAAAGTTTTCTTTTCCAGATACTAACTTTATAACAAATGATAAGGTAAAGCTCAGAATAGTAATGTGAGTAACCTTAGAGATGAGTAAGATTGCTTTTGATATTAGACGTGGTCATCTATATGTCAAGTTCATTGTTAGTAGATTAGTAATTTCTTAAAAAATATTTTATTGATCAAATGATTCAAAAGGGTCCGACGAAAGTTTTTACATCTTATAACAGTCCTTGAATCCACAATACAACAAAATATATATGTACAAATGTTTTTCATAACAATATTCTTTGATAAGGTAACTGTTTTATTTACTGAAAGAGGATGGTGACTAGACGGTAGGAAGGTAGACAGTAGAGAAGACTTGGGGTAGGGGAACCCTATGGATCAATTACGAACAGAGCAAATTAACACACTAAGCTCAGACTAGGTATATGTGGGTCAGTTGTTGTGGTACGTTCAAGAAGTAAGCTGTTGAAGTCTCATAGCCCATTGTTATTGCATGGTTTGCTGTATTTTAGCTTATGTCATGGTGCGGCGTCCGTCCTTTTCCTTTAAACAACTTCTTCTGAAGAACGGACAGGCCTAGAGTCATGCTATTTGGCTGAAAGCTTTGTTGGTAGGAGCCCAACAAAGTTTGAGAATGAAAATGACGTTAACCTACTTTCAAGGTCACAGGGGTCAAATGTGTCAAAAACTTCAAACGACTTCTTCTGAAGAACTAAAAGGTATATAATCTTCCTATTTGATTGATGGCTTCCTGGGATTGAGCCCAACAAAGTTTGACAACGAA